TGCACAGATGTTCAAGGTCATATAACCATGTCCTGCACCCAGAAGTGATAAGTTCAGTCTGGGATCCAGGTATGTACTCCAGAAGTCAGGCACTTGGCCTCAGGCCCACCAGAGCATGGGGGCACTTCCCAGGTCCTGCTGTGTCTCTGTGAAGAGCAGCTTCTTCAAAGCTCTGGACCTAGAGACCCAGTGCCATCAACTAGGTGGCATCCCCAGTGGGCTTAACCTAGGCTGCCCCAGGGTCTTGAGGCCTGTCTAATCCCCTCACTGTGCTGCTCTGGGTGGCACTTGTGCCTTTGGCTCTGAGCTCCTTCTCACTCTTTCCTCACTCAGGATTCGGAATTGCTCTAGGGTCAGGTTCTGTCCTGGCTCCCACACCTTGAGGAATGTGTATTTTCCAGTCCCACAGGGATTTCAGGGTCCTAAATCAGGGTCCATATTTAAAGGCCACCCTTCTCCTCCCCACTTAAGCCCCAGGTGACCCTGAGGCCGGCCGGATTTGGATACTGATTAGGTTTACACGTTGGAGGGACCCACTTCACCAGTATGCACAGCTGGGCAACAGCCGGCCTCAGCGTCATTGTAGCTCAGGCGTCACTGTAGCTCAGGGGTATACCGGTGTCAGAGGAGGGAGGGGACACACAGTTCATGCCCTCCAGTACCAGCCCATTGCGATGCCATTCATCCTTTTCCTTTCCACAGACCCCTCCCTTGCCTCCAGCATCCTCCACCCCACCCCCAACACCATACCAGCTTCAGCCCTCAGTTGCGCCTTTTCCTGCAGTGTGGCCAGAAACTGGGGAAACCCATTTAGGAAGCATTTTCTTTCAATCCGAAGTCGCAAATTCATGTTCATCTCCAGTTTTGGAACACCTCGGTTGTGTTCTTGAGCCCAGCTTTCCTGCATTTCATGGGTTCATCGTCCTGGGTTCCACTTATGGAACATATGCCAAGTGTCTGCTCTCGCTCCCATCCACAGAAGGCAGGGATCAAAGAGCTCTTTCACAGCTACCACTAATTTTTTAAAAAATAAGTATTCTTTTAAAGCTTAAACAATGATGTGCACTTTAAGAAGCACTCCTATCTCAGCGACCAATTCAAGGTTACATTTGAGACAACAATTTCAAAATCCAGCTGAAGAAACATAGTTAGAGAAATTCTCCCCAAAAATCCTTGTTTGTATTCTCCATTTTCGTTTTTCAACTTGCTGTATGTTCATTGTATGTATGTGTCAGTGTCATCCCACTGAAACGAATTGTTTTTGGGTATTTTAAGGATCAGTTTAGGCAGACAGATGCATGAAAAATAACTCTTCAGAAATGTCCCTTTTTTGCATAAAACATATTTTCCAAAACATCATGATCAGTGAAGCGATATTTACAATAACTTCTAAAATATTAAGCAAAGCCCTTTTTTTTAAAGGGGAGATTCCTCTTGTCCTTTGTTTTTAGCAGGCTCACCCCACAAGGTCAAAATTGCAAGGGGGCATCAACATTACAAGTACTTCACAGAGATGTCAACGTCCACATGTAATAAAGTGGGTCTAGAACAGAATTAACATGGACTTGCATACAGAAGAGAAGAAAACCTTAGTATTTCTTATGACATTACTATTCCCCTAGATAAATCGTCTTTCTCAGTGGTAGAAAGTGAACATCTTGTGGTAACGTGCTAAGTTTTGGGCCATCTTCAAGACTTTTGCATCTTGATAGTAAATATATACTTCATCCTGACCTTGGCCACCGAGTAAAATCAGAGTCTGTGTGCTTGTGCATGGCTGATGTGCCAGCACGTGAAAGTATGCATCTTAAGCAGGCTGTGACAGAAGGGGGAGGGGCAGAAGTCACTCTAGTTTTAATGAGACGCTCAAACACCCAGGGTCAATGAGGAGTTATTGGAAAGCAGGGTGGAGGTCTCCGCTGGAGCAGGGGTGGGCGCCTCAGTGCACCGGGTCCCCGCCACCGCGAAATCCGGCTCAACGATTTGCACCAGGATTCCATCTGTGCTTCACTCAGCGTTCAGCTTCTAGTTTGGACTTTGCTTATTGCCAGGAGGGGTCATATGGCCCTGGAAGGCCCCCTCCCCTTCTTTCCGGGCGCGGGCGGGGCGCAGGAATTCGCGCGCACAGGCGCGTTGGTTCCCGAATCCTCAGTTCGCAGCGCCCACAGGGATGGAGTCTTCGGCACTTGCAAGTCCCAGCGTCCGGGCTACCGAAGCATCCCAGGTCGCCCAGAGGTGGAAGAGCCTCTCAAGGGAGCCGTATCTCAATCACTCTAGGCTGTTTGCCGTCCTCGGTCGGGAAGGCGGAAGATGTGTGTAGATCAGCAAGCATCGCTTTCCTCCTGCAATAGGATCGCGTTCCAGGGCTGCAGAGAGAGTGGCTGAGGGCCAGCGGGCTAGGTTTTAAGGCATCCGCTAATGGAGGCGGCGGCCTGGATGCGATAAGCACCCCATTGTGGTGTTGGTGGGTCGCGCGGGCCGGTGCCCGGGTCTCTCCTCTCTGGGGCTTTTCTTCGTGTGCTGGCAGAGAGGTGGGTGGGATCAGCCCCTGGGCCCCAAGAAACTTACTGAAAATTCCCCGTGCTTGAGACTATAGCAGAGCCTCAGGGCACAAGGGAGGCACCTGAGTTTCCAGTTCACGGTTCACGCCCCTGGCTGGCAGGGGCGTTAGCGGGGCTAGCGGGCGGGGGCTCTGCCCGGGGTAAAACCTCGTCCCTGCGCCCGGGCGGGGCGCGTGAGGGAGCGCGTTCGGGCTCCAACCTGGGTTCAAAGATTAGAAAAACAGGTGTTAGATCGCCATACTAATTCACTCTCTCGGTAAACGCGGCTCCGACGGTTGTGTGCCCAGGACTTAGCGAGAGGCTGTCACCTCATGGCCTTGCGTTCACTGTGTTTGTTAAAGAGCTTCTGCTGGGTTCATTGGCAACGGAGCTTCACCCGGAGCAGCCCGCCAGGTCCCCCAGGACGTTGGCCTGCAGGGTGAAGACTTCCCGTACTCACTTTGTCCATCTGCTTCTGACGACAAAAGACCATTTTTCTCCCCCGCATGCAAAGCCCCCTGCGAGGGAAGCATGGCACCGCCCGACACCCGTGCCGTCAGAGTCCCCGCGGGGGTTACAAGTTTCAGACCCTGGAAAAGGCACTTCCACACCTGCATATTGTTCGAAGTAGAGAGAGGATTTAGAGTCACCGCAGACTGGACTGGAATCTGCTCTCCGTCTCAGTCGGACTAGAAAACCGTTTCTTAACCCTGAGGTGTCCTTGCGTCGCCTGGAGGCTCCATCTCAGCCCTCCGATCTGTCCAGGTCGGCGGGGAGAGGAGGCTCAGGGAAGGTTCTCCCCCACTCCCCACACGGACCCGTGCCGTCTCTTTCCACGTAGCTGATGATTCTATGTGGTCTTTCTTGTTCGAAGTCTCTCTTGTTAAAAGTCCACTACTGTTGGCCAAAATCTACCCAGAGCCGGCTAAGTGGCCAGATCCCATTAGCAGGATGCCAGATTTGAAACACCTACACAATCTCTGTTTAGTTCCCCTCTCCTTTCCTCTCTATTCGAAATGCTCATCTCCTTCTCATCAGGTGTTGCCCAGATGGGTGAATACCCACCTCCCTTCACCCCAGAAAGCTCCCGCAGTCCTACGCGCTTACTGCACCGGGCGGTGAGGATGTGGCCGATGTATGAATTTTTTTTTTTTTTTTTGAAAAAAAAAAAAAAACAACAAAACTCTGAAAAGTTGTTCTGAATATCCGCAGAACGACACACACCCTTCCTCAGAGTACTTATTTTCTCGTAGGCAGTCAGTGCCGCAAGCGAGGGGACCCGGGAGCAGCCTGGCGGTGTGGTCACCGACTTGTACCTCAGAGAAACCCCCGCCTCCCAGCACACCCCGAGGAGCGGAGTCGCGGTCCCCCGCAGCACCGAAACCAGGCTGCTGTAAGGGAGGCTCCTGACCGGCGACAGTTATCCAGGGGCACCTCAACTTTTCCTGGTTGCTGCTGCCTGCTTTAGGAAGAGAAGGCGCTTCTTGTTAGAGGCGCTCTCTTTCGGCTATAGTTTGTCGGCAGTGGCACCTGAGGACGTTTGTTGTGCCAGCCCCTGCTGGGAAACCGTGAACGTCCCAAGTCCACGCGTGCACATGTGTCCTTTCCGCAAGGAGCATCCTATGCGCTGGGCTAGTGTTCCCCTCAACAAACCCAGCCAAGCGTTGGCTGACGTCTAAGATAACGGATCCACCATTCTCACGCTACTGTGGCCTGTAATGCCACCTCTTTCGCTGCTTCCCATAGGAAAACTCCCTCCTGCAAAGCTCTCCACAGCGAACAAAATCAGCTCCCAACCCATCTGGAGATACATCGAAAGACAGGTGTTGTGACTACTTCTTCTGGTGATCAGTTCGCTGTCATTACGGTTTCTGGGGGACGTGAAAGGGAGAAGACAAACCCAAGCCGGCCCTGCGCACGCCGTCGGCTCCGCAACTAGCGCGGGAGAGGGGCGCGGCCGCGAGGTCGGCGCTGGGGCTAACGCGCCGCGCTCTGGGTGACTGCCACCTCGCCTGCCCGACCTCTGCCGCCCGGGCCGCCGGCCGCCGCCTCCCGGGGCCTCTGGCACGGCTGGGCCCCCGCGCTGGGGTGAGTGAGAGAACGGTCAGCCTCCGACCCCACGGAGCGGGAGGAGCGCAGGTAGCGCACGGCGCCCAGAAGGCCCCAAAATCCCAGAGCAGCTGTGGCGGCGGCGGCGGCGGCAGCGGGGCATCGCCGACCCCCGCGCCCGGGGCTCATTAGGAGCGCGGCGGCCACGCTGGTGCAGGACTGCTAGGCGCAAGCTGGGGCGCGCGGTGGGCGGTGCGGGGCGTACTCGCGTCACTCAGCCCGCGAGGCCAATGAGCGCTGCGCCCCGGGGCGCGGCGGGCCAATAGGAGGCGAGCGAAGCTTGTGAGTGGCATTGAAGGAGGGCGGGAGAGAGGGAGCCCTGGAGTGAAGTTGAAGCTAAATCCCGTAAGCTATAAAGTAGTTACGGGGGGGCTCTTTCGGCTTCCAATTAGGAATAATACTGGCTTCGTAGCGACTACCGAGGAGGAAGATTCTAAAACCCCCTCACCCGTCCCAAAACCCGCATCCTCCTCCTCCTGCCACACACCCCTCCCCCGATTTTTGACCAAGAAAAAGGAGTCGAGGGGTATTCCGCTCCTCTGTGCTGGTGGGAAACCGAGAGGCCAGCAGGGTTGCTTAGTTGGACCATAGGCCTGAGTGCAATTAGGAGGCGGGCGCCTCGCACCCGTTGCCGCCCGCGGGGACTGAAGGTAGGTGAAGCTGGACCCAGCACCAGCCCGGCGGCGCCCGCAGCTGTGCGGCCGAGGGGCGAGGCTGGACACGTCCGGTGCAGCCTCCCCGTGCCCGCGAGGGGCTGTCGCGAGGGTTGCCACCTGTTAACCTGGCACTGCTGGGCCCAGCGCGTGGCCGCCCCCGCTGGACAGTGAGAGCGGCGGGTCGCCTGGGGCGTCCCGAGGGACTTGATGTGTAAGCTCTACTTTTGGAGGAATCCCTCAGACTCGAGACCCAAGTGGGAGTGGAGAGGGATCCGGCTGCAGGTCTGCCCAGGTCCGGGGGTGCGCGAAGGTGTGGAGGAGGAAGCCGGGGTTGCTGCGGAAACCCGCTGTCCTGGGCCTTGCGCCGGGCCTGGGTCTCCTGAGGGTCTCCGCAGCTTGTGCTTTGTCGCTGGGGCAACTTCCCAAGGGGCTGGACAGTGTGGCTGACAAGGGAGAGGGCATGCGAGCACTATTCTCACGGGGCTCAGTCTCACTGCTGGTGTTGTGTTTTCCTAACGTGTCTTAAAAATAAGAGCAACCCAAGCAAGAAATCGTGGAGCCGGGCGAGGAAGCTGAGGCCTTTCGCAGCCGGTTTTCAGATCTGGGGCGAGTGTGGGAGCGGTTGTGGGGCCGCACACGTCTTACGCTCCGATGCTGTTGTCTTCGCAGTGGCCTGAAAGAGCTGCCCCGGATTCCTGTCCTTCCCAGAGGGGCTCGGAGCCGCCTCGAATGCCGCGGGACTGAAGAGCACACGTCGGGTGGGTTTATCATGTCGACCTTCCGAGCGCCGCGGTTCGCAGCTCAGAATGGAAGGAAAGGCTGGCTCCTGAGGGGTCCCGCTGGTATCTGATGCCCGGAGACCCACGGGGCTGCTCGAATTGCCCTGGATCCGCAACTCCAACTTCCCCGAAGGCACATCCACATTTTCCAAGAAAATATTTTCTGTTCGCCGCATTGGCCGTGTAAGTGCCCTCCACACGCTCTCCCCGGTGCAGAGACTCAGCCTCCTTCGTTCGGTGTATGCTCTATGTTTTTGTCAAATATGATCTCCAGTTGAAAGTTTATTTATGGTTTTGGATGAATCTGTGGAGCTTACATTGTAAAAAGAAAGGGGGAACAAGACACCATGAAAGAAAAGTCCAAAAATGCTGCCCGGACTAGGAGGGAGAAGGAAAACAGTGAATTTTATGAACTGGCTAAATTACTGCCTTTGCCCTCGGCTATCACCTCGCAGCTGGACAAGGCATCCATAATCAGACTCACGACCAGCTATCTCAAAATGAGAGTGGTGTTCCCAGAAGGTAAGTGACTTTGCCCACATGGAATTTCAAAGGCAATGGGGCAGGGGGTTTTCAGGGTACAGAGCCCTTGCCAGCCAGCAGAGAAGTGCCTACATATATTTACATACACTCTCCCTGCAAAGGGAAGTTGAGCCTGGCGGCTTGACTGAGGTGCTCCACGAATTCCTGTTGCTTTCTCCAGACTCCTACTTCCCCATTAATACTTTTCTCTTCAGTCCATCAGATATGTTTGGTTGGGAGGCAGCCCAACACTGCTTTTGTCAACACTTCAGATACTGGGCTCAATTGAAAGCACTACTAATCCAAACATGACTTTCTTTTTTACTGCTTTTGTTGGAATTGCATCCAGTAGATAGAAAGGATCAACAGTGCTAAATGCTGTATTTTGGGTAGGGTATAAATAGGCCCCATATACACTGAACTAACTAAATCAGATAATAATTTCTCTATGTCTGGGGGTCTGCAAATGAGGAGCAGATATATTTGTAAACAAATATGTCTTGAATTTACATAGTCTCTTGACTCTTTATAGCGTATTTATTCTGAGTTTTCAAGATGTTTACAGATTCTGAAAGGAACGCTGGGCCTGATGATTTGCAACTCTGGCTTTGATATTATCTGTAAGATAATAGGCTGGGCTCAAAATACATAAGATTGAATTAACATAGCTAGCCTGTTCAGAAAATATCTTCTGGGAAGCAGGTTGGCAAGTGGATCCTGGGGAAAACTGTCTTATAAGGTCTAGAAATTAGAATAGCTGAGCTGTTGACATGATTTAAAACTTGTATCTAGATTATCGAGATGCACTGTGTGAGGGCAGAGCAGATGTCACAGGACATTGTTCTATATAAAAACATCTCTACCTACTAGGGAAAGGGCACTTCCCTCTTCCATTTATCCATTCTTTCACTTTATTTGCACCCAAATAGCATATACACAGATTTTCAAAAAATATCTTAGACCTGTCGAGTAGGAGGAGAGGATTTGAAAATGTAACAGGAAGGATTACTAAAAGAACAAGCAAACAAAAATTCCATAGAAAGAGCCCTGTTTATTTACACACAAGAACTTATTAGTTGACCCGTACAGGTTTGTGGTGTTGTTGATTTTGGTTGTTTGGGGTTGGTTGTTTCTTTAAAGGAAAAGGGGGAGGGAAGGAGAGTCATTAATAGGGTTGGAGTTTCACTTTGCTTGATCTTCACGTAAAAGCCTGCAAAACGCGCTCCAAATTAGTCAAGGACACTAAAAGGAAAGCTCCCAAATTATTATTCAATTCTACCTCAAAAACTGTAAGTTCGGTTAAGGTCGTTTCCTGTGAAAGTGGTTCCTCAGTTCCCGTCCTCTGACCCCGGAAGCCAGGAGAGCCGAGGAATCAAGTCCTAAAATTACCTGAAAAGTTTTTAAAAGGGGGAAAAACTGTTGAAGGGCAGACCTATACACTAAAAACCACATTTCCCATTCAAACTGTGCTGGGAATTGCTGGTGGGAAATTACCATTATGCCACACTGCCTTGTGTTTAAAAAAGAGATCTCCGTTGTCTTTTATTCTGTCAGCGCCTACTTTATAAAAATAAAGCTATTGCGAACTCCGCTGGCCGCGCTGTTCCTAACAGGATTATTAGCAGTGATTTGTCAGCCCCTGCGGTCTCAGTGGGTTCCCTTTCTGCGTGATTTCTAGCCGGTCTCGTCAATTATCGGTGCCGATGTCGCTCGCTGTTTGATCAGAAGCAGCATATGGCGCTGCTTGCGCGGCTGCGAGTAATCGCGGGGAGGAACTGCGGGTCTGCGTTCCCGGGCGGGCCCCGAGCGGGACTCGAGAGCCGGGGGAGTCGCCGGGCCGGGGACGCTGGTCGGCGTGGTGCAGACCCGGGGCAGGCGCGCCCCGGGAGGCAGCGGGCTGGTTTTTGTTGTTGTTGTTTTGTTTTTGTTTTTAGGAGAGCAAGCTTTCTTGTTTAATTAAAAGTGCCAACTTCACACATTGTAAATTGCGTTATAAATAAATAGAAGCAACAAAAAGTAAACTTTCGTGGCCAACTGGCCGTTTTTGAAGATAGCACCGGTGAAGACTCCGGCTGGAGTTCCCTTGGTGGCCAGGCCGGTCCCCTCTGGCTTACTGTAACTGGGACTGTGCTTCCTCACGAGCCCCGGCCCCTCCCTCACCTCCCTTCTTCTGTGGGTAAGTGTGAGTTTATGGGAAGGAGGGGATGGGCGATGTGTGAACTCCGGGCACATCATTTATTTCTCCAGCTACTGTTGAGCTCATAACTCAAGCGCAGCCTTCATCCGATGACTTAGATAGGGTCATTCCAACAGCTGATTCCTAGGAATGAGGTTCTAATTTTGACCTTGTAGAACTTCAAAGGCCCAAAACCCAAACACTTAACTTCATAATGTTAAAGAATAACAACAAACAACAACAACAACAAAAACAACAACAAACAGCTTTCAAAGGAGTGCAATAGTTACATGCTGCAACACCAGGCATAACCTGCAGGGGGTGCCAAATTTGGGTTCAGAGGTGACTGAAGGCAGAGGGTGGACCAGAGGGGGTTCCTAGGCAGTGGGGCAAAGGGAGAGCTTTATTTGGGTGTCATCTTTTTTAGTGCTGATAAATGGAATTTCAAGATGAAATTTAACTTTACATCTTGAATCCATCCTAGCACATAATAGGTCCTCAAATTCAAAAAGTGGAATAAAGGTGGCTGTTAGATTGTGATCAACATCCTATCATATGCATCATATGAACTTTGCAAGATATATAGTTTCAAGTAATTATAAATCTGCTGACATAGCTGTAGACATATAGGCTATATAAAACTTCACTGCTATTGTCGGAATTTCATCTGTGATACCCTGTTAATGTCAAAAGGTTGTAAATTAAAGGAGCAAGCAAATATATTTCCACATTATTTTGGAAAAGGAAAAAAGTTTTTAAAATATAAGTATCCTCCCACCCTCCTTTGCTATATAGTTTTCTTTCCAGGGTCTAGTAGCTTTTGTTTGCTGTTGCTGGCAAGTTTCAGTTTTTATTTAACTGAGTAGATAATATTAAAGAGTTGGATGAATGACACGATGACCCTCCCCTTACACACACACATGGGTGGGGGAGAAAGAGGGAGGGAAGGAAGGGGGGTGGAGAGAGAGATGGGCTATAGATACCTGGAATAATTAAAGCATTCAATCAGAGATTTCACAGTAAAAAAAAAAAAATCAGGGAAGGGTATTGTGAAATCATTAAAACTTCCTTCTCCCAGTTGGTAACGTATCCAATTTTAAAATAGCTTTTCAAAGGAAAAATTGAAATATGTAGAAATGTATGGATCCTTGGTGTTATCAAAGCCAGAAAGGCAGGGTAAAAACAAAAGTGGCATGATTTGTGTGTGTGTGTGCAAATAAGACAAATTCAACTGCAAAGAAATTCATGTATGTTATCCAACTATAATGCAGTTTTGGCTGAGAGTGTAGTAGTTTGCAGAATGAACTTTGAAAGGATCAGACATGTTTCTAAATCTGTAGCAATTCAGAATCTTAGTAACATCACCCCACCAGCCCATTGTCAAGATGCCTTCTGAAAATAAAAATAATCACAGAGTTGAAATTAATAACTGCTCAGAAAGAGAGTCTCTACAAAAGACAAGAATGATTGGAAAAAACAAAAAAAACAAAAAAACAAAAAACCTTGCACCATGGATCCTTGCTATCATGTGCATCTCAAGACTGAAATCTGTAATCGGCGGCAGCTATTCTTATTTCTTCCCACTTCTCCGAGGCTGAGAACTGAAAAAGAAAAAGAGGCCCCATTTCCCACGTGGATCGGTGATTTAAGGCTGTTTTCCTCGCTGCTCAGGGAAATGATTGAGCATTAGGTTTCCATGTTTATTTTCTTACAGAAGTTTTTCTCATTTAAAAGCCTTCAAGCGCAGTTTACGCTCCACGCTGGTTTTCTCTGTTTAATTCCAGTTTTGATGTTGACTTAAAATGTGGAGTGCAGAACTAAACTCCATGCAGAGCGTTTGCAAGGCAGATTTATGTGCTAGAAATTGTAGATCAGATCAATGAAAACAAATACTTTTTTCTTTAAAGGAAGGGATCATGAATAAAAACAATAACAATAATAACAACAAGGTATCATGAACTATGGTGGGATTATTTCAAGTATGGTCACCCACCTGAAGCTAAAACCAGGCTAAATCTGCAGAAGGCAACCATAATTTCTAGGGGAATTATTTTTCATTTCTGGGACATCTAGGCAGCCTTAAGCTTTTAGAGACACAAATGTGGGTACAAAATGTGAGCTCAGGGGTTTCGGATGCTTTTCTCGGTTGGGCCAGGTATTTCTCAAGAAAAAAAGTTTGGACCTAACGATTTGAGTGAGCCACCCATTGCCAGTCTTTGATCCATGGATTTTTAAATGCTGTGTAGAACCCCAAGTATTCAGGAATGGCTAAAACAGTGTCTGTAGCGGAGCAAATTTTCTCTGCAGGTAGTTCTACACTGGGTGGCTTCCTCCCGGAGTTGCCCGACCCTGGTGGCTCCGGCAAGACCCGGGAGACTCAGGGCCTTCACCGCCCCTTCTGCACCGCCCGAAGCAGGCGGCCGGCTAGGTCGGCTCCCCGTGTCCCCTCCTCTCTCCGTGGCGACCGAGGTCTCCGCGTGGCCTCCTCCACTCCTCAAGCTGGGGGAGTCTGCCCTGCAGTATGGGAGAGTCTGCCCTCCAGAAGGGAGGTCAGGGACAACTCTGACCCCAGCCCGGAGCAAAGGCCGCGCCGGTCGCCGGCCGCCGTTCGCGCTGCCCCAAGGACAGGCGGTTGGCTAAACCGTAAGCCCAGATCCGTGTCGATTTGGGCTTTCCCGGGGAGCAGACTTCGCGCCAAGGGCTCTCGAAGCTGGATCCCCAGCTCCTAGGCTGACCTGGCCAGCGCGGGCCTGTGGGGAGTTGGCCTTGCCAAGTCCTGGCCGTGCTCGAATGCCTGAAGTCCTAGGGAGACACCGCTTGAGGCTTTTCAGTCGCCGCGTGGGACACTCTCCTGCGCATTTTCGTCCCCACTTGTGGCCCTGATTCTGCCTTCCCATCGCTTCTGCAGTTCTAGTTCATCAACGTAGGCGGGCCTGGGGACTTGCGGCCACTTTGGCCGGTGGGACCGCTCCGGGCGGGGCCGGAAGCCTAAACTCTGCGCAGGGCGAGCGAGCACAGAGAAAGGGTCTGCGCTGTGACCACCGATCTGCACCCCGGATTTACACCGATATTAGAGGATTCTTTGGTCGCGGCTGCGGAGTCTCTGGCTTTCGAGCTGCAGGCCGGGGAAGGCAGTGTAGACACGCACTGCAGAGGGCGGGCGCACGCCATGGGGTCCTGGCTGCGTGGCCCCGCACTGCCCCTGACGCGTTCGGGAGCTCAGCCACACCCGCCCCGTGGCCTGAGAGCGCCGCGGGCGGGGCTGGCCCCAGCGCCGGAGGTGGGGGCGGGTGTGGTCGGTGCAGGAAGCGACCTCCTGCCCAGTTACTGCTCCGAGTTTTTGGGAGCGCCCATTCTCCGTCCCTGTCTTCCCCAGAGAGCCCAGCTGCGGGAGTTCCCGGAGCTCTAACACCAAGAAGACTTGAACTACTCAGGCATCAAGAACCCGTAGGCCCTGCAGGATGCAAGGGACTGGGGGCTTTCAAGCGGGCAGCCCGAGCGGCCAGGACAAGCAGCTCTGGGACCTGAACTGAGAAGTTCCACCTCGGAGGGCTTTCCCAGCCTCAGTCGCCACGGTCAGGTCATGGGACAGCTCCTAGTGGTTGCCTAAAAGGCAATATAAGGCAATCCTTCGCGGACGACACGTTTCTATTGAGATGTAGTGTGTTTATTTATTAAGAGAAAGGAAGAAAAACAGAACAGTAGAACAAGCTCTTGTCTTCCTCCTCTTCCTGAGTGAAGGGGGTGATGATGCCGGGTCTGTAATCTGTATTTTGTCAAGGGTATGAAATTCATTCCGAAGGAATGGCTCGATCAATTTATTTTTGCTGCCTGCAATAACACAGCTGGATGATGCTTTGAGCTCACGCTAGACTGGGGCTCATCATTCATTCGCCAAGAACGGGCCTAAATGGTGCCTGTGGGATTAGGTCAATTTTAGTGGATCTACTTCGCCTCATTTGGTTACTAATTGGTTTCTTGTTTTATAAATCGAAATCTCATTTTCAGGAAATTACAAAACCCGTGCAGTCAGTCCATTGAGGTAATCCTTGGGTCAGGGGGTATTTAAATGGAAATGGCTCAACCGAGCACCAAGGGTAACGCAACAGTCAGAGTTGCCGGGGTTTTCACATGAAATGTGAGCTAGCCCCTTAGATCCATAATAGATACATCCCTTCTAATGCTACTTATGTAAATATGATAAAACAGACTTTAAGGGAAGGGGGGAGGATTCTAGGAGAAGCAAAATTTATCTGCTAAGGTTAATATGGCATATCTTGGAAATCTTCCAAAATAGATTATGTTTTCCTTTGTCTTCGGCCACTTTAGCTGGGGGAAAATCCTTTTGTCTAAAACCCGATTTAGTTATCGCCTCCCTCACAGAGCTGCTTTTCTCCTTTGCAAAAACCCCATTCCCTCGGCCTCACCGAATTACAAGAGAATCTTTAGATCTTGTTCCCACTGTAATCCTGCCGCAAAGGGAGCTGGTTTCCTCCTCATTTTAAACAGACAATCAAAGGATTTGCGAATTTTCTGCGGTAGGTCAAGTGCAGAAACGAAATCTCAGCTTACCCCCCTCGCCAACCGAAATTGGGTGCCTGAGCGCGTCAGATGAGGCAAGCGGAGAGGGGGTCCTGGGGGAAGGCAGGAGGGGAGAAGGGTCTCCCGCCCACCTGAAGACTTTCGGGAACAGGGGGACCTCTGGCCCTGTCTTGGGGGAATTGTCCGCGGCACCTCAAAGGGCGAGCTCAGCCCCGGCATTCAATCAGGACAGGTAGACGAGGGCAACCAGCCCCTTATAAAACATTAACCCAGACCCAACCGTGTGACGGGGATTTCGATGGGGGACACAAGGAGAAGGCAACGCTCCGTGAAAGGAAAATGTCCCGTAAAGCGGTGTGCGCAAGAGAGGTCGAGGGAGGCCCCTGTTAACTTGCGCCGCAGGGACGGGCTGTTTATTAACCAGTGGGGAAGTCTTATGTTCCTTCGTAGGCCCACACTAATGAGCCGCAACCCCCAGAAGACGCACAGGCTCACAGTGGAGGCTGGCGCTGCCGGTTTGGAACCAGTACTTAACCCCGAGTCCAGCCCCGGGGCTTTCTCGGACCCCTGCGATCGGGAGGCCGCCTCCGGGCGTCTTCTAGGCGCTCGAAGAGTCCCTCAAAATTGTGCATGAAGGGTATTTGTTTGTCCCACGCATCCTTTCGGGAGACTTGCGTCGGCGGTGGCCGATTCCGGCCGGGGGCCAGCGCTCTGCCCTTAGCTCCAGGGATGTCTTGGGGTTTCAGGACTCCTCTAGGCGCCAGGGCCGGCGCCACCCGCTTGCTTGGCACTCCTGAGAGGTTCCTTTCCCCTTTCCCAGGGCGGTCTCTGCAGTCGATCCCTCCTGCTGCTCTTTCTGGGTTGGGTATGTCTGAACCGGGCTTATAAAAATGAACCTGTAGTGGCGGAAAACTAGCGGGATAAGTTGGCTGAGACTGGAGCAGCGACGGATAGGTGACCCGGCGCGAAGGGGTGTGTACAGGTGGTTGTGACGGGGCCCAGAGGACAGCTGGGACTTGGGCCTGAGAGTCACTCGGGCGAGGGAGGTTGGGGCGGGGAAAAGAGTCAGGTGGGGTTGACCTGGCGCGAGGGAGGGAGAGGAGTCCTGGCGCAGGCGGGGAGCACCAGTGTTTGCAGAGCGGTGGGGAAATCGTTAGATTTATTTAGATGTGCAAACACCCAGAAAGACCCGATTGGAGCTTAAGGGGCGCTGCCTGTTAGTCGTTGCTGGGGGGGGGGGGGGGTTGTGTTTCTTCGCTTGCTTAGGAAGCAGCTCCTCGCCAATACCGTTAAAATGTCCAATTCGGTGTTTTATTCTAAAAGATCCATTATAACCCCATGTTACAATGCGAGTGTGTTTCTCGTTGTGTACTTCATGAAGACTTATCCCTGAACAATAAATCGCCTTAAAAAAAAAAAAGGTCGATTTAAACCGTGTTGAACGGTGTGAGAACGAAAGGATTTAAATACCTAGTGAAAATAATTTTGGCAGCAGCACTGCTTGTTAGAAGATATTGCCCATAAATACTTTCACATAGGTCCAGACAGATTTCTTTTGATTGGTCTTTCTTTTTATAAAAAGGTACTAGAGAAGACTTCATGTTAATTTTTAAAAAATCAGCAGGAGGGTCCTGAGCCTGTTGTTTTGGGGACGTCCCCAGATAAATGGTTTGTGGCAAAATCTCTAAAGATCTTAACGTGGTAGCATCCAGGAAAAGAAGAAACCAGCTTTGTTCATAGAAGATGGTGCCTGGAAAGCAGAGATATGGAATGATTCTTTATGTCCAAAAATGGACTGAAAATATTGCTAAAAAGTCGGTAGCATCGCAAAGTAGTAGCTGCCTTCGAAAGAGCATGAGCGTGTTTTTTTTTTCCCCCAATTGATTTTTTTCTTTATTTTTCCGGGGTGCGAAAAAGCAGGAAGAGATGAGATGCAAGTGCTGCCGAAGCCAGGAAAGGAAAAAAAGAGGAGAAAGGTTGTGAAGGGAATGCTAGTGAGCCTCTAGCTGGAAGTCATCCGCACGGAAACGGATTTTTCCGAGGGGGATTGAAGTCGCGGGCTGAGGGAGGAGACTGACGGGGGAAACCCCGCAGCCAATCAGAAAGCCAGCCCCGGACCGGATGGCCCTGGCCGGCCACCTCGGGTCGCTCCGGGGGATGGCGGCTTTCGTTGGGTAAGGGAACGTCCTCGGGCTATGCAGAAGGACGGTGAGGAGAGCTCTGGGCAGAAACGTGTTTCTCAACTCCATAAACACACCCAGTGTTACCGTTAGAGTGCGTTGCAAGGGGCTCCTCCAGGAACCCTCGGGCCACTTGAGGTCCTGCCAGCGGGGTGCTTTGGCGAGGTCGCTGCAGCCCCAGATAAACTGGTCCGCGGGAGGGTGTCTGATGACGGCTTAGAGACCCGTGTGTGTGGAGGGGGAGCATCGCGAACAGAATTTACATGCTTCAGTCTTAGGCTGTACGCGTGTCAGTGCAGGGAATGGGGTGGGGAAGCCCGGGGATATTCGGTCTCTTCGTGTTCCGTCCCCAAAGGATGTGTCTGTGTCTCCGCAGGGCTCGGCGAGGCATGGGGCCACTCGAGTCGGACCAGCCCCCTGGACAATGTTGGCCGAGAACTGGGCTCCCATCTGCTCCAGGTACAGGCATTGGTCTCCCCGCGGCGCATTCACTGGCCCGGAGGCGGGCTTCTAGTTTCTGAGTTGAAAAGAGAGAAAGAGAGAAAAGGGTGGGGGGGGGGGTGTGGAGGAGGGAGAGAGAAATGCAACCTGGACATGGCCCTCTCTGAACCCAGCAGCTTCTCCCAAGTCAGAACTCAAGCTCTCAAGTTTGCTGGGTGCCTACAGCATGAGAGGCTGACAGGGAGACAAGGTGGCAAAGGAGACTTCGTACTAGGAATGCAGCCCCAGGGACCCACCAGGACCTCCAGACCAGGGGAGGGGTGCTATTTGTCACCACTGGGCTGAGGGAACTGGAGCGGCCGAGCGAGTGTCCGAGGCTGTGTGGCAGAGCAGTCCGAAATGAAGGGTTTACGGAGGAAATAACGAGTCTGGTAGAAATGTCCGATGGTGCTCCAAGCCCCCCACATTCTGGATCCAGCTGTGTGTGCAGCTCACATCCTCTGATCCCCACAGCGCCCCCCTCTTCCTGCTTCACCCCAGGGCACCCTGGTCACCTACTGACCCCAGAGTCCATCCTCCCCCAGTAATGAGATCATCAATGTGAGGTGCCCAGTACTTTGTTTACAGTGCTTACCATTTGAAATTGACCGTCACCTGCTTATATCGAAGAACAAATATTTTAAATACAAAACTCACAGTGCCATTTTTAGGTTTGACTGTCGTCCCACACCCTACACCATTTTTATTATTAAACACTACTGGGGCTTCTTGCATAGGAGTCTTGAACATGGGAGAATCCCAGCCAGTTGTCCCTCCTGGTTGGGTGTGAGTGGCATCTCTTGGCAGGAGGCCACAGCTTTTCTTGTCCAATTGCTACCCAGTTCCTTTCTCCCTCCTAGAGATCAAAGAAACATAAGTTTCACAGAACAAAGAAAGGGCTTGAGCAAGCATTCGGTCACTGACCTGGCCTCCACGCCTCTGAGTTTATCTAGTAGGGCAACTGTAACTCTATAACTCCCTTGTCTGACACACTGTTCATCAGAAGTCCCAGGGCCACCACATCTGTCCATATTCCCAAATAATTTCTCTTAGCAATATAAACAAGAAAATAAAATTCATATAATCCCTCACCCCTTCTAGCTCTTGCCCAGTCTCCTTCCTCTTCTTTAACCCAAACTTCTGGTGCGACTTACACCTCCAATTTCCTTGGTTCATCTTCCCACTCTTCACTTCCACACCCTGGCAATTGGGTGTCTCTCCCCCCCCCCCCACTGTGCTCTGCACAGACTCCACCACACATTGACAATGAGGATTAGATACTCATCTCTTCTACCTGAACTCCTTCCACAAACAGAGGAGGCTCAACTGCATGCCAGAAGGAGAGCCCTGCCTTGTGGAGTACATATTCTAAGGAGAGTAGCCTTACAAACCCACACAGGTCTCCTGCATTAGTATATCAGGTGGTGTAGGTGGTATGGGGAAAAATAAGGAGAAGGAGGAGGGCTGTGTTTGAGCCATGTTTGCTATGTAAAATACAGATGGTTTCAGAGGATCTGAGCATAAATGCCACTGAGAAGGCGACATTTGAGTAAAGACATGAATGAGAAGACATGGATGACTTGACATTCTCTCCTTTCTTCTATTTCTAAAGGATATTTCCTTGTTTATTTTCTCTTCGTGTCTCCTCCTTTGATTTTCCCACAATTGACTGGTATGCAAGTTCGGTAATTTCTGAAAGATTCAGTCTCTATTTTCCCTCTCATGGCTTCAAGGCCTCTGGGATAATCTCAGCAATACCACCACCTCAATTCCTTTCTCCGCATGACCTCAGCCTATATCTGTAGTGCAGACACCCTATCCTGAGCTCCACAACTTTATTTCCTATTGCCAACTGCATGCATACATCTAAGGGAAGTCTTCATGCACCTGAAGTTTAGTATCTCCAAGAGAAGAATCTAATATCTCCCTCCTCCAGACTTCCATTCATACAGGATCTCACTATGTTCCCGTAAATATTCAATCTTGCTCAATACCCTTAGAACAACCTTGCAGTCAACCTCAACTCCTCTGTGGTACTAGTCAGCAGGAATTAGATGCTTTCCCTTCTTTACCCTGTGACCACCTAGTTTCAGGGTTGACTATCTGTGCTACAGCTTGCCATTCTGTTCCCATCCTCCCTCTATTCTCCTGTAGGTCACTGTCCACAATCTGCCAGAAAAAAAAATTTTTAAAAGCACATCTAGGTTTGTTATTCTCCCCCTTTGAAACCTCTGTTGGAACCCAAATATATAGGGACAACTTTGGATACCTCATATTGACATTGAAACTCTAAAAATTCTCTAAAAATTAGTCCATTGCAGGTGTACTTTCTTAGCTTCACCTCCAGTACACAAAACTCATCACTTCAGAATACACCAGATCTGTCCTCCCCCCAGGTCCCTGTGCTTGCCACATCATTCCTTCCACTTACCACATCTTTTCTCCAGTCCAAGCTTCCTTGTCAAGGTTCTGCTCCTCCAAGGCCTCTTTGATTCTCCCCTTTGCCTCTAGGCAATGAGACCCTGTGCCCCCTGCCTACTTAAACTCTTTCTATTCAGTGTTGTTGTTATTATCACTATCTTCAGGCCAGTCACCCCTGCTGGACTCCTAGAGCAGGGTCTGACTCATCCCCTGTCTCCACTGCCTGGAATGAGGCCTCATTCACAGAGATAAAGGAACAGTGAAAGTCGAAGACTTTCCTTCATTGAGAGCCTGTCAGTTTGATGCCTCAATGTAAACACCCACACATACACACTATAGCACTGCTCTATGGACTTGCTGCTTGTAGAGCCTCTCATCTCCTAAATCCCCCTCTCCTGGACTCTTTCCAGAGCCACTGGCCAGCTTCCTTCTGTCTACAAACTTCAGACTGCCAGCCCTTCCATGTCAACTAGTGACTCCTGCAGCCAATCTTTCCCAACCCTGCACTTACTCTTTCACTGCTCACTCTCACACCGCCTTACCGAGCCTTTCAGCTCTGTTGCAGGAACCTCTCATTCTTGCAGTGACAATCATCCCAAGACCTTAACCAATGTTTATCATAGGCTGTGATTCCCTGCCACTCCAGAACTTCCCTCTGTGTTACAGAGGTGTGTCTTTGTCCATTTGGATGGATCCTCAGTCTGTGAGGTGTTAGCCTTGTTCACCACATTCTCGGGTTATCTCTGCCAGTGTACTGCATGCCCCCACTACTTACACCTTTGGAATGGACGAAAGAGGGGGGCTCTTATGGCTGGTTTCATGTCCCTCTCTGAGTCCCTGCACTTCTGGCTGAATGTCTCCAAGCTCTGTCCTTCCTGCTTCCATTTCTCCAGATAGCCTAGAGGACTCTCTATTTACTCTATTTTTCCTCCCCAGACCCTGGATGGCTTCATCTTCGTGGTGGCCCCAGATGGGAAGATCATGTACATTTCAGAGACAGCCTCAGTCCACTTGGGTCTTTCTCAGGTAGGTGAGTGGTCCACACTTCCAGCCTGCAGTGTTTACAGCCAGAGCTGGAAGCAGGTGGGAGGGGCTTCCTCCAAACCTTTTATATCTGTATTTCTGGAAAGCAGTCAGCTGACAGAAGGACTCTTTCAACAGTCTCCATCTCACTATTCTTCTTTTTCCTTTAGCTTCTGCCTTAGGCCCCAAAATGGTTACTTTTTTGAGTTCCTACCATAAACCAGACACCCTGGGAAGGAGTTGCACACTTACCTGATGATGTATTCACCAGAACATTGCTAAGGAGCTACTATGCTACTATTATCACTACAACTATTATTATCATTATTTTTAAAAATGATTTATTTGAAAAGCAGAGTTACACACACACACACACACACACAGAGAGAAAGAGAGAGAGAGAGAGAGAGAGAGAGAGAGATCACACTTCTATCTTCTGGTTCACTTCCCAAATAGCAGCAATGGTTGTGTCTGAGCCAGGAGCCTCTTCCAAGTCTCCCACATAGGTTCAGCAGCCCAAGCACTTGGGCCATCTTCTGCTGCTTTCCCAGGTACATTAGCAGGGTGCTGGATTGGAAATGGAGCAGCCAGGATTCGAACTGGCACCCATATGGGATCCTGACAGTGCAGTTGGCAGCTTTACCCTGCTATGCCACAGCTCCAGCTCCAACTATAATTATCTCAAGAGAAAGAATCTGAGGCTTAGGTAGACTGCAATAGGTAGCTAGCAGTGGAGATGGCATTAGAACTCGGGACTGACTCCAGAGTTTCTGTCCTGTCTCCATGCTCCTGCAGGCCTCCTTGAGCAGTCTTTCAGGCCCTTCGCAGGGCATTCTACCAGCATGGAGATGGTGATACTCTCCTCTTTACAGGTAGAGCTGACTGGAAACAGCATTTACGAGTACATCCATCCAGCTGACCACGACGAAATGACTGCGGTGCTTACCGCCCACCAGCCCTACCACTCTCACTTCGTGCAGGGTAAGGTGGACATGTGTCTGCGACACTCGGGCCCATCCTCCCATCCTTCGCAGACTGCTTGTGGTTTGCTTTCCATATTAGTCATGGCAGGGACTGGCGCCAGCCTGCCTGCCTGCCTCCCGTCCTGAGCACCCCTCCGCTCCTCTCTCCAGAGTACGAGATCGAGCGCTCCTTCTTCCTGAGGATGAAGTGCGTCTTGGCCAAGCGGAACGCCGGCCTCACCTGCGGCGGCTACAAGGTGCATGGCTTTGAGCTGAAAGATGGACACCGGACACCGCCTGGTGGCCTGGTGTAGGCGGATGAGGCAGGACACTGGCGTGTCCAGTGTGCGAGGGACGTCCCTAAAGCAGGACCGCCCCGCGTGCACCCACAGCATGCGTCAGAGTGCAGCGCTCCACCAAGGGTCTCAGACCTTTACCAACTCCCGGGGGCTATGCTTAAAGATTAAGCCTGACTGGGTCCAGATGCTGCACAGCCGCGGGATGGGGGTGGGCCAGAGTGGGAATTGTCACCTGTGTTCCATAGAGAAGGGCCCCAAGGGTCCGTAGGCTTTTGAAGTGGGGGTGGGGGGTGGGTGGAACTATGGCTTCGCGTTAGGACTCCTGAAGAGGTTAAGGACCAGAGCTTTAGCTCGGAAATTGTAGTTCTCAGGTTGAATGAACTGAACGTCAGGGGAAAGCGGGGTCCAGGGACCCAGTTCGCGATTTGGAAGTGTTAGGGTCAGTGGTGGCCCGGGCTTGTGCAGCTTTTACGAGTTCCCAGGTGAGTTCAGGGTGGCGGAGAAGTTACTTTTTCTTTTTTTGTTTTTAAAGATTTATTTATTTGAAGGGCAGAGTTAGAGAGAGAGAGAGAGAGAGAGAGAGAGAGAGGTATCTTCCAATTGCTGGTTCACTTCTCAAATGGCTGCAATGGTCATGGCTGACACAGGTCCAAGCCAGGAGCCTGGAGCTTCTTCTGGGTCTCCCATGTGGGTTCAGGGGCTCAAGCACTTGGGCTGTCTGCCGTTTTCCTAGGCCATTAGCTGGGAGCTGGATCTGAAGAGTTGCAGCCCTGCAGCCAGGACTCCAACCGGTGCCCATGTGGGATCTGGCGTGGTAGGCAGAGGTTTTAGCTGTTGCAGCTCAGCCAGCCCGTCACTCTGAGACATCTTAGAGCACCCATACATCTGGACCCCTTAGTGTAAGGGCGTGGCCCACACCTCGTTTGTGGCTGAATAGAGCCTCCAGGTGTTTTAACTCCTGGCTTATCTTTTTGAGGCTCTTCCTGGCTGTAGCGGAATCTCGCCCCTCCCCCTGTGCTGCAGGTCATTCACTGCAGCGGCTACCTGAAGATCCGCCAGTACAGCCTGGACATGTCCCCCTTTGACGGTTGCTACCAGAACGTAGGCCTGGTGGCGGTGGGCCACTCGCTGCCTCCCAGCGCCGTCACGGAAATCAAGCTGCACAGCAACATGTTCATGTTCCGCGCCAGCCTGGACATGAAGCTCATTTTCCTGGACTCCAGGTGGGTGGGCAGGGCCGAAACCCGCGTCCCCAAGCGTGAGGGCGGCTGAGCTTTCTGCCCAAACTGTGAGCCCATTTTGTAGATGAGGCAACTAACCCCGGCCCTGCAAAATGAGGGCGGACATCCAGATTTGAGACTGCTGTCCCGGATGTGTATGTGAGGGGATGTACCCTGCATGTGCATACTCATCTTGCCGGGACTGTTCTCCGCAGGGTGGCGGAGCTGACGGGCTACGAACCTCAGGACCTGATCGAGAAGACGCTATACCACCACGTGCACGGCTGCGATACCTTCCACCTGCGCTGCGCGCACCACCTGCGTAAGACACCACCCTGCCCATCTCCCTCTCTCAGGGGCTGGCGGGGAGCGCGATTTAAGTCCCCGCAAGCGGACAGATGGGAGCCCTAGTCGCCTGGCGGTGGTGGTGGGTGAATCTCAGGCTGTGCCTTGCCACAGCATTTTCGGACGCTGGGCCCTACCTGGTTTTTTTGACGTCCACGGACCACTCACACAGGTGGAGGGGGTTGTTTCTGGGCGAAATCCTTCCCTTCCCGGAGGAGTTACCTCATTCTCCTATTGACGTGCTCCCGGACCCGCAGCCTCGCTACAGACGCTTTGCGGTGAGCTTCGTCTCCCGGGACTGGGAACCTGCGCGTCAGAGTTCAGTCGCCCCCACCCTTCCTTCAGCTGCTCCTGCTTTTGTTAATAGCGGCCACCCCTTATAAGGGAGACCGGAAGGCTCAATGCAATTTAACAGGACAATCAATTCAATTGGGAATTTGACTGCTGCCTCTCCCTCCTGCCTGGCACAGTTATTGAGGCCCACAGGGGGTCCGCACTCCCTCCACTTGGGGTTGCATTTGGGACCAGTCGGGGGCAGGCTGGTTCAGCGCCGTGTGCGTCTGTCTCTCCATCAGTGCTGGTGAAGGGGCAGGTGACCACCAAGTACTACCGGTTCCTGGCGAAGCACGGCGGCTGGGTGTGGGTGCAGAGCTACGCGACCATCGTACACAACAGTCGCTCTTCCAGGCCACACTGCATAGTCAGCGTCAACTACGTCCTCACGTGAGTGCCAGTCCGGGGGCCCCTTCGCCCGCGGCCGGCGACCTTGCACTCCGCCGCTTCTGCCCTCGCTAGGGTGCTGGCTGAGCTGGCAGGAGGCAGATGGAGCGCTTTCATGTTTTGGAAGAGGCTTCCTGGGCTGTTTTCTGAAGAAAGATTTAGGACTTCCCCCGGCACATTCCATTTCTCTCAAACTTTTAAGCGAATTCTGCATTAAATAAAACTTAATGCGGCAGAAAGAAGAGGGAAGGAGGGAAGAGAGTGAGAGGGAAAGAGGAGAGGGAGAGAGAGAGAGAAGAAGAGGAAGGGATCTGACGTACGGAGCTATTTATGGGTAACAAACAGGACATCTGTTTCACTTTTTCAGATCTGGGGTTTGAAGTTCTTAATTTTAACCAGAGTCTCCAATCAAAGTTAAGAGTTCTGAGGCGGTGATTCTTGCCCTGAACCTCAAAGAAGGTTTAAGGGACCAGGAGCCTCTGACTTTAGCCCCAGAAAGCAAAGGGACCCGAGCTAATGTTGGAAATCCTGGCCGGCGCCCAGACCCCGCAAAGCATAACTGCTTCTCTGGGAGGAGGACTGAGCTCCGGGTGCCACCCGCGGGCGCAACTCCCTGGGCGGCTGCAAGGGCCGCATCGGAGCCTTATTCTTTGATCATTACTAGTTGCCCGCGTGGTCCTGGACGCCGATCACGTGGCCTGGTCTGTGACTGGTGCAGAAGACACGTTCTGTATCATGTTTGTGAAAGTTGCTTAGGGTTGAAGCTTTTATGAAGAACCCTTTTGTGTGCGTAGACGCTGTGTTTTGGGGAGTTGAAATGCTTGTGATTTCAGGGTACCTCAGGAATTATTTACTTTGTAAGCGTTGACACATGAAGCACTTAGTAGAAATACTGCTTTGACATTAGGAAATTGGTTAAGGGGTGCTCTTTGGGATAGATTACATTATAGGCAGTAGGAGTAGATGCATTCCACATTGTTTTAAATTATCAAATTAAAAATGTAGTAGTTGGAAATATTATGCTTGGCAATAAGACTATTTGCACTGCGCACTGTTTAATAAGAAAATTTAATTCAATAGACTTAGAAAATGAATTTAGTTTAGATGAGGATTCAGTATTCAGGACTACTAGCTGGTTATTAAGAATCATTTAATTTCCTTCATTTTAATAGAGTGTTAAAATAAACACTATCAGATTTTAGTTAAAGCAAGAAAATCATGTATTTTAGTACAGAATAGAAAATATACCAATATTTTATCATAAAATGAAACCGTCTATTTTATGAATGCAGTTTTTTATATTGTTAAAATAAACATAAGAAAAAATGGCAAAGGCATAATTCATAAAATAAGTCACTTTGTGAAGCAGAAGTATTAAAGGGTGAAAAATTATGTCTGCTCACCATGGAAAGGAAGCGGAATTCTTTAAGAAGGTGCTTTGTATGTCTGACACATCACAGGCAGTTGTACCTACACTCTGTTGTCTGGTGGGTGCCTGTGGTTAGTAATCATTTTTTATCAAACAGCAGGGTACATAGTCACACAGACCCATAAAAATGATCTGAATGAAGTTAGACCTCCCAATGGGCAAAGTTAATTTATGTTTGGAGTCATTTTGAAATATTCTGTTTTGTTTTCCAGTGGTTAAGTACACTTTTTTCTTCTGTTGACTATGTCATTCTTCACTCTATATACTTCTTCAGAGCTGCAGAATTAGATGATCAACTTTACATCAGATTAAAACGATGTAATGAGGATGAATATATGATTTACAGAAGGAAAGATAGCATGGCACAGTTTTCTGAACATTTTACACCTCTGAATGAAAGTAGAAGTAAACAGAGAGAAGCACAAAACACAAGTACACAGATGAAAAGCTGTAATTGATTACCTTTTTATGAGTCTCAGTTCCAATTCCTTGTATAAAAATTCTTAGAGAAATTTTTATAGCTGCAAATGTGGAAACTGCTTTAAATAAAATGTCATTAAGTGGCTCTGTGAGTGTTGACAGGATTTTCATAATGAACAGGTTGCAGTTTATTTGATGTGTATATCACACATCTGGCTGGAAGTTACTAATTTACATTGTCTTAGCAAATTAAATAGATGGCTATTGATTCTCTGTGGTAGCTGTGAACTACCACATACGTTTGTTTTTAGGGCTGCTTCTCTATGGAGTCTGAGAATGATAAGTGAATTCTTTCCAAATGCACCACCTTAAGCATTAAAACCACAAACTACCAAATAATTTGACTTGCCAGGTGATTTCCAAATTTAGACATTTGAACAGCAAACATTTTGAAGGGATTTTCACACCATGAAAGTAGAGGGGATTTTAAAGAAGCACTGATCAAATGAAGAAGGTGTGAAGTTTTGTGACAGCTATGTTCATGAACAGCTGATTGTTCTCATTTCCTGATTTTAAGTTCATTGTTGAAGTTAAAATGTACTTAAAAATTAGTTATCAGCTAAAAAAAAGCAGTGATTAGTAGAAATATTCAGTAATTTTGTTCAAGTAAGTAGTTACAACAAAACATATAGGAAAACTGTATTATTTTAGAGGCAGATGTTGTTATGGCCTGTTTTTTACTGGCTTTTGTATGACCACTATTTGTTCTGAAAATCTGGAGGAGGGAATAAGGAGTTGTTTGAGTTAATTAAAATTGTCTTAGTTTCTGTGCTTCAGTGAAACTTTTATCTCTTCATTAACTTCCCCAACAAAACAAAAACCTGATCAGTTTATGTTCTCCTATAATATATACATACTCTGGTAGCTTTGCCTTGTACATTAAACATTTTTTTTTTTTTTTTTGACAGGCAGAGTGGATAGTGAGAGAGAGAGACAGAGAGAAAGGTCTTCCTTTTGCCGTTGGTTCACCCTCCAATGGCCGCCGCGGCTGGTGCGCTGCAGCCAGTGCATCACGCTGATCCAAAGGCAGGAGCCAGGTGCTTCTCCTGGTCTCCTATGGGGTGCAGGGCCCAAGCACTTGGGCCATCCTCCACTGCACTCCCAGGCCACAGCAGAGAGCTGGCCTGGAAGAGGTGCAACCGGGACAGAATCCGGCACCCCAACCGGGACTAGAACCCAGTGTGCCGGCGCCGCTAGGCAGAAGATTAGCCTAGTGAGCTGCGGCGCCGGCCCATTAAATATTATTTATAAATTATGAGGGCTCATGGCTTTGAATTGAGCATTAAGTGGAATAGGCCTTGCTCTCTGATTAGTTTCAAGAAGATATGTGAATGGAGATAGTGCCTAGAAACAGTGAATGTTGGGGAAAGTCAAGAAAGTGTGGAGAGTAAAAGGAAACTATCCTATGTAAAGGCCAAAGTGATTTCCTTGATTTCACATTTGCTTGAGTTTGTTTAATTGGTAGTGTTAATTATTTATAGTCAATTCAGAAGGAAAACATTAGTACTTAATGTGAAAAAAAATTGAGGCTTTGGAACATCTAATAAATCAGGGAAAATAATTTCTAGGGCATTGGAAAGTCTTGGTTCCTTTTATCTTTTTAAAACATTGTATATTTTAAAAATAAGATACATTCTGTCATGTGTACAGATACAACAATGAAGTATAAAACACCTAGATTTCCAAAAAATTTATTTCTTTATTTGAAAGACAGAGCTATAGAAAGACAGGAAGAGAGATCTTCCACCTGTTAGTTCACTCCCCAAATGGCAACATTAGCCAGGACTGGACCAGGCCAATGCCAGGAGCCGGGAGCTCCATCCAGGTCTTCCAGATGTGTGGCAGAGACCCAAGTATTTAGTCTATCTGTTGCTTTCCCATGCACATTAGCAGGAAGCTAGATCAGAAGCAGAGAAGCTGGAACTCAAACCAGCAGTTTGATATGGGATGTTGGCATCTCAAATAGCCACTTAACCCATTGTACAATGACACTGGCCCTTAGAATCCCTTAAAATTTAAATTTATATATATACACATATATATATAAATTTAAGATTTATTTTATTTATTAGAAAGGCAGAGAGACAGGGAGAGAGAGGTCTTTCATCTGCTGCTTCACTCCCCAAATGGCCTCAATGATCAGGGCTGAAGCCAGGAACCAGGACCTTCTTCTGGATCTCCTATTTGGGTGGCTGGGGCCCAAGCACCTGACACATTTTCTGTTTCCCAGGCACTTTAGCAGGGAGCTGGATCGGAAGTGGAGTAGCCAGGACTTGAAATGGGGCCCATTTGGGATGTCAGCATTGCAGGTGGCAATTTTATCCACTGTGCCACAATGCTGGCCCCCTATTTTAAAATATTTACAAAACTAACTTTCAAATAAAAATTTGAGATTAGTACAATGAATATCCATATACACATCATTTAGATTCAACAGCTGTTAATGTTTTCTTCATTTGCTTTATATATATCTCTCTCTCTTTGTGTAGTTTTCCCTACTAAATAACTTCAACATAAGTTACAGACATCATGATACTTCATTCTAAAGTAGCATTCTCCTACCTAGCAATGGTACCATTCATGGTGACACATTTAAAGTATTCAAAATTACTATATGCTTGCAAAAATATTGATAGTGCTAGTGTACTGATGCCATTTAAAACAATCTGCTGCTCATATTCATTAAATACTCATTGGTATATAACCTCAGTCCAATTGACAGATGATATTTTTATGAGAGGATTTCTATAGGGTACAGTTCTAAATGTTGCTGAATTCCCAACTAGATTTCTAAGGAAAATTGTAAGCTAATGTAGTTCTGCTGTTGTTCTAAGTAAAAGAAATTGGAGTGAGTGAATGATTTGGTAATTTTGGAATCAGATTTAATATTTTCAACCATTTTTTTTTGTGTGTGTGGTTGGTAAAGAGGATTTCTTGGCTTATTTCATTCCTAAGTTTGGGATGGAACACTGCTTTAGTGGAAAATCTCACATAGGGTTTTAACGTTATTCAATGCGCATATAGGAGGAAGTAGTATTCTGTGTTAAAATTTTTATTGTTGTGTTACTAAAATAACAAATGAGAGACCATTCAC